GTTTGTGTGCCACTCTTTTGGGGCTAGATTTGAAAACAAAGTTTTAAACGATCTCTTTGTACTCCAGTGCCCGACAGCAAAAAAAGAAAGTCTCTGAAAGTGGCTATTCTCACCCGCCCGGAAGTTCTCTCAAGAACAACTCCTCCCCTCTTCTCTCTCTCTCTTTCTGAATACTGTCTATCGGTGTGGACGATCAAATTGACCAAAACAAAGTTAAAAAATTATGTTAAAACACAAAAGTAAATTAATTTGGTTGTCTACAACTACAAAGATGCTACGGCCACGGCTATTTAACTTTTCGAATCGAGCCGAACTACGCGGGTCGCCATTTTGTTTTGCCCCGAAATTCTCGCGCTACTCCTCTCTCTCTTTCTCTCTCCACTGCCCACAGACACGACAATTGTACGCTTTTAGTAGGCTACAGTTGTAATGGAACGTTTGTTCACGGAACAGAATTCTACAATTTTTCTGTTATCACAGTGTAGAATTCTGTGGTTTAGGGTGAACGCAAAATTTGGTGAACGCGCACCGGGTGAGAATAGCCACAATACTCGCCTGCACTATTCTCACTCCGGGTGAGAATAGAGGTGGCCAAAAAAAAAACCGTGCTGCCCGAACCGGTACGATTACTCTAGAGGCGGCCAATTCGTAATGTTCAAACTCAGAATTTGTACATGTTAGTTTATCTATAACAACAATTATGTTACTTTGAAAACTAGATCTAACAATTCTAAGCCTTAGGCTGAGGTCCGATTTGAACTGGAGAAATTGAATTGAAAATAAAGAGGCAGAGTGCAGCACTGGCAGAGGCAGAGGCCGACGCCGGTGGGGACAGTCACTGGAGCTATAATTGCTCAACAAATAGAAGTGTTGAACTGACGCTTGCTATTCAGCAAGGTGGAAAATATTTCTACAGGTGTGTTGTATACAGTCAGTATGCAATTATAACTTATAAACGGCAAAAATACAATGAATAACAATTACAACAAAAATACACGCACTTGCACAGCAGAGCGCCATGTTGAAATTTGTCACGTGACGCTACGAAGTGTTGTTAAAAACATATCCACAATTTTCTTTTCTTCTTTCATTCACATTCCATATCAACGAAATAATTAATAAATCTCATGTCAGTTGAGCTCAGCTAGGCCTAAATAAGTTCAGATCGAATTTGATCGTCTTCACCCTTCCGTCTGTTCAACGGCATCTATTCCGTGTCTACAAATGATGTTGGGCCCATCAAGTTGTCTTAAGTGTGCATGATAAAAAAGCTGCACTAAGTCATGTATGTAGGTTGTGTGGATTTAAAGCAAAATACCCCCCCCCCCCTCCTTATCTTTATCTCATTACTCTATATATCTCATTCCTCTCCTCTCCAATCAGTCTTTGTTGTCCTTTTTATTGGCTTATTATTAAAATTTGCCAGTTCATCAACAATAAAGTTATAGGCTCTAACGTGTTTGTGTATGCATCACAATCTTAATGGAATCACAGACGACAGACGAGCAGCACAGACGACAGATGAACAGTGTACTGGTCAGATAGATGATTATCTATCTATCTATCTATCTATCTATCTATCTATCTATCTATCTATCTATCTATCTGTACAGACACACATGCATAATAGGGGGCTCTCGTGGCCTAGAGGTTATTATTAAGGTGTTGGCCTCTCATTCAAAGGTCCCGGGTTCGAATCCGGGTAGCGACCGAAACATTTTCTTCTCTAAAATTGTCTCCTTTCACCTTTTTTCCTGCTCTCTAGCAATGTTCCGTCGTCTGCTTTCGTCTTCCTCTTTCTGCCCCGACCCCTCACCTCCTTTGCCCTCTTCTCTGGGCTCCTGACTCTTTCTGCAGCCTTTCTACTGCTACTCCTTGACTCCTTCCTACAGCTGTCTTTCTGCCACACCCCTGATCTTCTGGTAGGAAAGATCTACACCTAGCCTTCTAGGACAAGGGCGAAAAATCTCGGAGGGCCCGTGTGCAAGTTGTGCTCGTTAAAGATCCCTTGGTTGTCTAAAATCGGTAAGAGTAGGCTTCGGCCGCCACCCGGGCAAAATTCAAAATTTCCTACCAACTAAAAGTATTAGGTGTGTCCGCGCGCCCATATGACCTTATGCAGTTGTGAGCGCCGTAAAACACTTGCCAAAAACCCCCAAAACGAAACAAAACAAATAACCCACACATAATATATAT